AGAATCTGTCCCCGGGCCTCTTGTTCACGGAGCCATGCTTCCATTTTCCCAATTTTTCTGTGACAATATTCATTCCTTGCTTGATAGTCCAGAAATTCTGCAGCCTGTGAGTTTCCTATAAAAGATGAAAAACTCTTTTAATTTATGTTTTTCCTAACATTGTCTTTTTTGTTTGTTTTTCAAGTGCCTAGGTTTTTGTGAACACAGAATAATCTGCTTAGTACTTTGTTTGGTGTGTGTGTATTTGTGTGTGTGTGAGTATGAGATCTCTCTCTCTCTCTCTCTCTCTCTCTCACACACACACACACACACACACACACACACATACACACATACAATTCCGTGTGGTGTCTCTATAAGGATTAATAAAATATTAGTCATTATTTTAAAAAGTTTTAAATCTGGGGCTGGGGATGTGGCTCAAGCAGTAGCACGGTCACCTGGCATGCCTGCGGCCCAGGTTTGATCCTCAGCACCACCTACAAACAAAGATGTTGTGTCTGCCGAAAACTAAAAAATAAATATTAAAAAAAATTCTCTCTCTCTCTCTCTCTCAAAAAAAAGTTTTAAATCTCCTGAAAGTCAACCTATGTACTCCAACCCTTTAACAACACTTTGCTACATATTGCTTTCATCTGAGCCATGTAAGAATTACTTAGAGAGTCACTTTTCCCCTAAATACACCACAAATCTCTTAAGAGTAAGCACATTTTCCTTACATGATTATAATACAATTATTATACTTAGGAAACTTAATATTGATCTAATACTATTCTAATATATAATCCATATTCAAATATCCATGGTTGGTCCAATAGTGCTATTTAGAGCAATTTTTTGTTTATATTTTATTTTTATTTTTTTGAATCCAGGGGTGCTTAATCACTGAGCCACATTCCCCAGCCATTTTTAATATTTTATTTAGAAACAGGGTATTGCTAAGTTGCTTAGGACCTCACTAGGTTGCTGAGGCTGGCTTTGAACTTGCTATCCTCCTGCCTTATCCTCCCAAGCTCCTGGGATTATAGGCATGTGCCACTGTGCCTGGCTCATGTTTTAATTTTTAGGCCCAGGATCCAGTCTAGAATCATGCATTCTATTTTATTTTCTTCTCTTTTCATCTCTAATTAGAGAATCCTGGGGCTGGAAGTGTATCTCAGTGGTAGTGGTAGAGCAGTGGCCTAGTACATATGAGGCCCCAGCACCACAAGAAAACAAAACAAAACAAAAAAACCCCTAGCCTATCCACATAAGGTCCTCTCACCTCTCACTTCCTTTCTCCTTCACCCTCCTTCTCCCCTGCTTCTTCTGTCTTCATTGTTTGCAATGCTGACATTTTCTTTCCTTTTCTTTTCTTTTTTTATTTCAGTATTGGAGATTAAGCCCAAGGGATGATACTGACATTTTAAAGAGTACAGGTCAATTATTTTGCATAATGACCAATCTTAGGCTTTTCTGATTGTTTCCTTGTGGTTAAATTCAACATTTTGAACAAGGATATTGAACATCTACTGTGTGTTAGGCACATGATGCTTTTAACTTTCACATCAACTCTGACTTCGTATCAGAATCACCTATGTAGGCTGTAATGCCAAATGCCCGGACCACACTGCAGATCTATGGAACTGGGGAGCTCAATAAGTCAGACTTTGTCCTTTTCTTTTCCTTTCTTTTCTTTCTTTCTTACTTAATTTATGTGTGAGGTTTGATTATGTGCTCATATGTATTTACTTTAGCTTTTTAATTTAAGCAGTACCCAGCCTTCTTTTAGAAAGCACAGAGCAATGTGGACTTTGCCCAAGTAAATCTGGCTTTCCAAAAAACAAAATCTTCCCAACCACTTCTGAGCTAGGAAAATAATCCTAGGTCAAAGTCTAAAGTCTCCACCAGTCTGGATGGAGCAGATTGAGTCATATGAATGATAATCGCTTATTAAATCTTTTGGCATATTTTATTTAAATCATTAATATCTGAAGTTTTTACTATTATATAAGAAAATCAAGTGTTTCTTTTTTCCTCTATGCACCATATATATATATATATAT